AAAAAAAAAAAAAAAGGTTACCTGGAGATCAGAGAGTTGAGCTAACCACTAGTTAACCTTAGAGGCCAGACACACCTTAATCTTGGTCTTTCTGAGGAGGAAGCAGGAAGATCAGGAGTTCAAGGCCACCTTAGGCTACAAGAGATTGAATCAGTGTAAAAAAAGAAACAGAGCTGGGTAATGGAGGCTCACACCTATAATCCCAGCACTAGGGAGGAAGACAGGGATATAAGGCAGGGGAAGAAAGGATTTTTGACCCATTCAGGCTTAGAACATATAGAGACAGGTTCCCTCTACCATTTGGTTTGAGATTTCATAGAGGTAAGAATTCTCTGGTGGCTGGCTGCTCTCCTTCTCTGATATTTCTTTTTTCTCCCTCAATAGCTGAATATGGGTTTTTAAAATAATGTTAATTAGGATCGAAATTCAGGTTACCACCAAGGTATGCTTGCCACTACTGCTTTCTTAGGGCTATTGTTCCAGGATGACAGTTGATGTGTTTTATAAGCATCATAGGATTTTTGTTTGGCTCACTGCTCTGGAAGCTTGCATGGTCCTTCTGAAACCATGAAAGTTATCGCTCATGGAGCAATTTACATTATTTTGAGACAATATCTCTGTGTCTTTCTACTTTCCTAATTTCACTGTGTAAATTTCACTGACCTTGAACTTAGTTCCCTAGCTCAAACCTCCTGAGTGCTGGGTTAAAAGGCTTGCATGACCTTGCTGCACTATAAATAACTTTTTGTTATCATATTTTGTTATTTGCTCTGTAGCCTTTGCTGACCTAGAACTCACACTGTAGACCAGGCTGGTATTGAAATCACAGGGATGTGTCTGTCTTTGCCTCCTGAGTGCTGAGATTAAAACTGTTTGCCACTACCACCCCTTCTGTTATCATGTCTTGACAATAATACAAGGTAACTGCACAGCTGACATGATAGAAATGAGTGATCAAGTGGCTATCTTGTTAACTGACATTAAAGATTTTAGTTACACTAAATTGGAAACTCTAATTTAAATCGATGAATATAACACACCAAATTTAAACAACATGAAATAATATGTAAATAAATATGTAAACAGAACATCAGTAGCAATGTGACTGAAGCAGGTATAAAATGCTGCCCCTAAAACTACCCCTCAAACAGATTGACAGGATTCCATCAGAACTCCAGAGAAAAACTAACCTCAACGTTACTTGATATACTTCTTAACAGTGGCACACACCTTTAATACCAGTACACCGGAGGCAGAGGCAGGCATATCAATATGAGTTCAAAGATAGCCTGGTGTTCATAATTCCATGAGAGTCAGGACTATAACATAAAACCCTTTTACAAAATAAAACATCCAAAAACAAACAACCAAACAAACAAAGTCTTCTTGACACAAAAAAAGGAGATTCCCGTTAACTCTTACTTTTACCTGATATTAAACCAGATAATGTGCAGGGTGTAGTGGCGCACTCTCTTAATCCCAGCATGCTAGTAAAGGTGCATCAATCTCAGTGATTTCCAGATCATCCTTTTCAAAAAAGGGAATTACAGGACAGCCAGGGCTGTTACTCAGACAAACCTAGTCTCAAAAAATCAAAACAAAACCAAAACAAAAAACCAGATAAGTATTCAATGAAAAGGAGTGTACAGACTGATATGGTCATTTAAAATAAATTTCTGAAAAGGGTAAGGTGGTACACACCATTAATCCGAACACACCCAAGACAGAGGTACACAGATCTCTGGGAATTTAGTCCAGCCTGATCTACAAAGCAAATTCCAGATCGGCCAGTGTTACACAGAGAAAACCTGATTCAAAAATAATGAAATTTTTAATCATAACTGTTTCACACTGACATACATATGTGTACATATACACTCTATTCGTGTATCTGAGCATGCACACATCAAACACTGCCCACTCTCACTCCTACCTGTCTGCTATCCTGGCCCACAATTCCAACCATTCTCTCTAGAGTGTTCATCTCTATTTATTTTGCTTGGGATCCCCTGAGATTATCCAGAGCCATCTGTGAGACTGTGGGTTTGGAGCTATGTGTTGGAGTCTGGTTGGCTCAGCAGAGGACTACAGCTAAAGGCAGAGATTCTTCTCCTACACTCTATCTATAGCCAACATTTGAAAGGTAAAGGGTGGGTCCTGTGAGCCTTTCCCTTTCCTAGTCTGATTGTGGTCTAATGTGAGGTCCATGCAGGTCAGTACAGCTGCTGTTGGTTACTGATTACAACAGCTGTGTGGAGTCTAGAGAATGGCATGTCTTAGCCTTTCCTCCTCTCTCCCTTCTTTATTCCTTTTCTCCTCCTCATCCTCATTGTTTCTGAAACATAGATGGGAGCTGTAGCTGACATTTTTAGGCCAGGAACCACATACCATACTTACTTTCTACTTCTGGCAAAGCATGAGTCTCTGCACCCACCAGTGATGGGTGGGGTTAGTGTGTGTGTGTGTGTGTGTGTGTGTGTGTGTGTGTGTGTGTGTCTGTGTCTGTGTCTGTGTCTGTGTATCTGTGTCTGTGTCTGTGTTTTTGGAGGAATGGGGGAGTCTAAACACCTTACCCTGAGTCACAGAAGACAAACTTGTTCCTGAATTAGTAAAATGACAAGACCACCATCTAGTGGTGAGAGCAGTACAGTGGTAGGTTTATTTAACTTAAGGATTTATTTAATTGAGTAGTCTCCATATTGACTTCCAGAATGGCTATATTTTTGGTCATGGCATTATTATTCACTATGTTTTTATATGGTTGCTTGTTGGATTATTGGTAGTATTTATGTGATGATATGTTGTGTACCCTAATAAAATTTGCCTAAAGATCAGAGGACAGAACAAGCCACTAAATTGAACATAGAAGTCAGATAGTGTTGGCACACACCTTTAATCCTAGCAGTCAGGAGGCAGAGATCCATCTGGATCTTTGTGAATTCAAAGCCACCCTGAAATACATGAGATTGACTCAGTGTAGGAGAGAAAACAGAGCCAGGCAGTGGTGGCACACACCTTTAATCCCAGTACTGGGAAGCACACACCCTTTAATCCCAGGAAGTGATGGGTAGGCAGAGAAGGGTATATAAGGCTTGAAGAGACAGGAACTAAAGGCATTTGGGCTGAGACCTTTTCAGCTGAGGAAGCTCATTCAGCTTCAGGCCTCTTGGCTGAGCTCTTTCAGGCTGTGGAGTTGGTGAGGTAAGAGGTGGTAGCTGTGGCTTGCTCTGCTTTTCTGATCTTTCAGCCTTTACCCCAATATTTTGTTTCAGGTTTTTTATTATAAGACCATTTTAAGAATCTAACAACATATTTTTCTTCCTTCTGTGTGAGAATTGGTAATTTGCTGTCTTCCCCATGGATGATTACTTCCAAGTTCTCCTGTATTTATGTAGTCACCACATAGAATTATTATTTCCTGTATTTATATGGATAATTGTTCTGATACCCTGTGTAAAGTTTGCCTCTAGTTATTGTCAGCAAAGCTGCTTTAGTGAAATCAATTATTTTATCTCAAGGCTATCTTCAAATGCACTTAGTTCTCTATCACCTTTAAGATATTTTTTTTTCTTGAGGCAAAAATAGGTGGACAGTGATTTTCTCTTCAAGCTTAAAATATCATTCCACTCTCTTCTTGGTTTTTTCCTGTGGTTTGACATTTTTTCTAACAGCTTTTTGTGGTGGTAGATTGTGTATGCTTTTACAAATAAAGTTTGCCTGAAGATCAGAGGGCAAACAAAGCCAGCCACTAGTTAATCATAGAGCCCAGGCAGTGGTGGCACACACCTTTAATCCCAGTACTCAAGGGGCAGAGGCAGAGGCAGACAGATCTCTGCAAATTCAAGTCACCCTAGGCTACACAAAACTGATCCAATTTAAAAGAGAAACAGCCAGGCAGTGGTGGCACACTCCTTTAACTACAGCACTTGGCATCTCATGTCTTTGTTCTCAGTGCTGGGGAGGCACACACACCTTTAAACCCTGCACTAAGGAGTTTGAGATAGGATGTCATTCGTATGGCTGGGCAGAGAAAAAAATATAAGGTGGAAGGAATCAGGAGCTCAGCACTATTTCAGTTGGAGAATCTTACAGATTTAAGAACTAGTAGCTGGCTGTGTTACTTCTCTGATCTTTCAGCTTTCCCCCTGATAACAGATGTTGGGTTTTTACTAATAAGTCCAACAAGAATTTGTGATACAGCTTTCAGTAGTAATTTTTCCGTTTCTTTTAGACCCCTTATATGAAAGGTCAGCAAGTCATCTATTCCTTGTTCCTGAAAGAGAAATTCAGAGAAAAGAAACAGAAAGAAATGGCTGATTCTCCAGTATGTATTTTCCAGGTAAGTGGTCATGCCTACTTTTCTAGAAATGTTATATGTTCAGATATTGTAAACCTTTAATTTTTGCTACTGACAATATTTTAAAATTTATTATGACAATTGTCGCAAATAAACAACACACACAAGCACACACATACACACACACACACACTGAAACTAACTGGACTCAATTACTGTACAAGTACTGTACAAATATTGCAATTTTATTTAGTTGGAGTATTTATTGGGAACATGAGCTCTGGAGTCTTTCAAATGGGGCTTTATATTTTTATTATTGAATATACTTTTATCAAGTTATCCACCAAAAAAAGAAATATTACTTTGGAAGAATCACAGCTAGAACATTAGTTAGTTTATATTCTTTTTCTCAACTGCTATTCATTATCTGCATTCAGTCCTACCTCAACCCTGTTTAACATTTCTTGAACGCTTTTCTCCATGTTCTACTGAGCCCCTATGCATTATGTTTCTCATAGACACATATTATTGGCCAGTTTCTGCATATGAAGGAAAATGTGATTTCTTGTTTCTGGCACTGTGTGACTTAACTTAATATTACACATTCTATGTCTAATCATTTTCATGCAATTTTCTCTTCAGTTGAATGGTATTCCATTATATATTTTTACAGTCTTCATATAATTAGGTTAATTCTAATACTTTGCCATGTTGAAGGCAGTAGTAATGAATGTGGAGTGTAAACATCTCTGTAGTGGGATGCAGAGTTTTCAAATTATTTTTCCAGGGGTGACATTGCTGGGTCATCAATTAGTTCTATCTTCAATGTTTTTAATAATCTTGAAATTCATTCCCACACTGAGTGTATAAATTCCACACAACCCCATCCACAGTGAATAAGACTTCCTTTCTCTCCTCACGTTGCCTAACATTTATTTTCTGGTTAGTTGATGACAGCCATTCTCAGCCTGGGATGTGGTGATATTTCAAAGCAGTTTTAATTTGGGATTCCATGATGGCATTTTTTTAGGTATCCTGAACAGTTTTTGCAATATTTATTGGCCATTTGTGTATTTGTCTTTAAAAAATGATTATTCAGCTCCTTTGTGCATCTATAAATGTTAGTATAATTTCCTTGGTATTTAATTTCTGTAATTCCTGGTAAATTCTAGGTATGAGCCCCTATCAACAATGTCACTGGTACAGATTCTCTTCCATCACCTGGGTGTGTGTGTGCTGTGCTGATGGTTTCCAGACAGACACATTTTCTATTCCTGTAGTCCCATTGTTTCACTTTCTGTGTTGTTGGTTTTCTTTCTAATCAATAAGGCCTTTCATATCCAAATATAATGATGGATCTTCTCTACATTTTCTAGCTGACTTTGTGTTTCTGATTTAACATAAGATTTTTGATCCACTTTGAATGAATGGACTTTTGGACAAAGGAAAGATAAGAATCTAATTCCATTCTTCTGCTGTGTTCAGTTTTACCAACATCATTTGTTAAAAAGATTACATTTTTGTGTTGTATCTTTTTGCCTCCTTTGTCAAATATTAACTACCTTAGCTTTTTAATTTTTCTCTCTTTCTGGGTCCTGTATCATAATCTCTTATCATTGTCTGTTTTAAATGACTGTACCATGCTGTATTTATGACTACAGGTATAAAATATAATTTCATAAATCCACACTTACAGCATTTTTGTCCATACAACCTTCTCAGATTATTTTCCCCCAAGAATAAGTATCTCACATAAAATTATGTCTAGTAATTTTGAAAAAATTTCCATTTTAACACATGAACAAAAAATACATTGATGTTATGTATAATTGTTGGAGAATAAGGGCTATATCTTTATATATTAGTGAGTGAGGACTCCTATGTTATGTAAGCTTTATTTGTGGGAACACCCCCACCCCCTTGAATCATGGTTGTAAAGAGCTCATATTGAAGCACAAGAGAGTTCTTACAACATCTTGGCACTATGTGCACTTAAGAGACAAAGCTTGGTTTTTAATGCTAAGTAATCCTTGGTTCCTAACACTAAAAATTTAAGGACACTAGACAGTGCAGAACAGGCTTGCACAAGTGGCTTGATCCTACCATGAAAATCATGTTCTTGAGTGTAGATTCAGATTGTAGTTGACTTTGTTAAAACTGCAATTGCTGTGAAGAGACACTAAGACCATGGCACCTCTTATAAAGGAAAACATATAATTGAGGTGCCAGCTTATAGTTTCAGAGGTTCATTCCATTATCATCATGGCAGCATAGAGACAGATATAATGGAGTACTATCTGAGAGTCTTATATCTGAAGGTCAACTGAGTGTAACATTGAGTGAAGCTTAAACAAAGAGATCTCCAATCTCACCCCCACAGTGACACACTTCCTCCAACAAGGCCATACCTACTCCAACAAAGCCACACCTCTTAATAGTGCAACTCCCAATGGTGTCTAATTACATTCAAACTACCACAGTAGTCTACTTATTTCTCTTTGGTGTTTAATATCATGGTAATTATGATGTCTCCACATGTTTGTTGACAACTGCTATCTGTTTGTCTGAGGGGAATTGCTACTCACATCACACTCTTGGTTAGAATGCTCAGTTGTAACATCCCAAACTACAGAGATCAGTGTTTTGGGTTTTTTGTTATGTTTTGTTTTTTTGAAACAAGGTGTCTCTGTATAGCTCTGTCTCTTCTAGATGTGGCACTGTAGGCCAGCCTGGCCTCAAACTCAGAGTTCCACATATCTTCTTCTCCAAATGCTGGGATTAAAGGCATGTACCACCACATGTGCTTGAGATCAGCATTTTTATTTCTTTTTTTTTTAATTGCCTAAACAGGATCCCACGTGCAGCCATTACTGCCTGGGACTCATTAGGTAGCATTACATAGAATGCATCAGAACTAATGTCTTGAGGACACTGACTGATTGATGTGCACAATCCATCACATTTGATGCAGAAAGAACATTCCTCATGATTGCTTTACCCCAGGTAGTTCCTGTGAGAGTCATGACTATACTCCCCAACCCTGAACCTGCAAAGTTTTAAAGCAGAAATTTGGGGAATGAGCTCTGACTGCCAGGTTTGCATTTATTCTTGACACACAACTCAGACCGAATATGTCACCACTATGCAGTTTGACATTTTGTAATAAAGGAAGAATCATAAACACTGCTAACCTAAAATCTGTTAGACAGTACAGGAAAACTGCTAAAAAGGAACACATTAAAAACTACAACTTTCAGGCACAAAAAAAAATCTCATATTCTCTCTTGAATGGACCTTCTGAGCACCATAACATTTGAAAAGCACTGAGCAGTGATGGTATTTCTCATACAGTGTAAAAAAACATCCTGCAACAGGACTTCCCTCAATCTTTGTAACTATTCAGAAATGAAATATTCTTCAAAACTTCTGAAATTGTTGATTTGCCTAAGTTGGCATATTCATAATATTTTAGGAAAATTTTTGATTATATCAAATGTGGTTGATACAGATTTTTCAACCTGCTTGGTAGTGAATCAAAATGCTGATAAAATAATCTCATATATTACCTGTTCTTTCATGTCAATTTTAAAACTGACAGTATACAATATTATTACACTCATTGTTACTGTGGAAAATAGGAAAATTCTTTGCTTACCTAGTCAAACATAAATTCTACTTTCCATGTCTTTGCCCTGTAATGGAATGTTATTCAACCTAGTGTTTAAACAAATAACCTGAGCTTGTTAGAATATAATCATGTAAGGCCAAAGAATGCAAGAATTGATTGAGTTACAGTGTTTTACTATGATCTACAGGTACAGCAATTAAAGCACATTTCCCCATCATGAATTTTCATTCTGAGGCACGAACAGTGTGATCCTGTGGGACACAAACAGCATCCATAATAGATAGTCATCCATGTCCAGACCTTCAATGTGTGGGGTTTTTTTTGTGTATATTGTATGTGAGCCTATTGTGTCATCCTGTTTGCACAGACTTAGAAAATCTATCATATGATGTGACTATATCGAAATCATCTGATTGAGTAATTGTCTTCATTGTCTACATCCCTCATTTCCTCAGGTCTACGTATATCCTGGAAAACACTCTGTCTGGTACCACGTGGTCTAACAACTATTTTATTTCAGGATCCGTTGACATTCCGGGATGTGACTGTGGACTTCTCTAAAGAGGAGTGGGGATGCCTGGACACTGCTCAGAGGGCTTTGTACATTGATGTGATGTTGGAGAATTACAGCAACCTGCTCTTTCTGGGTGAGAACATTTTGCTTTTAAGTAATCATTTTTATATATTGGCTTTATAGTTTGTAATCTCTCTCAAGCTGTGAGAAACAACAGAACACTAGGGAAAGTTTGGTAGTAGAACACTACTTTTTCACAGTATTCAATATATTTCTTTCCATTTTGCACGTTAGAAGTGTCATGCACCCCTAATTTGGTTCCATAATGCATTCAGAAATTTAGTACCATATAATATTTATACCCATATTTTAAGCTCCAATTACATTACTGTACCTCACGTAGTTTTAATTGAGGGAAAAGCTCAATATGTGCAAATTGAGAAGTACTTTAGCATATTTATATCCTAAAGATTCTGATGGGAAAGAGCCATTGGAAATCATTCCTAGATTCCACTACTTTGTGTTTTCTTCATGTACTCAGTAACTATGTTAGATTTCTGTATTCTTTCTCAAAAATCTATCATGGTTCATGGGCTACCTCAAAGAACATGTGGTTGATGAAAGATAGACCTGGACACCTGTCCAGAGCAAATGAGATTGCCCAGGAATGTGGAGAACAGAGAGTATCCACAAGTATGGTGGGTTAGTGTATTAGCAGGACAACCTTGAAGGCTTCAACTGAAAGAGAAAGCAAGAGTTGAAAATGGTTTTGTGATACTCAATTCCACTTGAAAAGATTCCTAATCATTAACTTACCATAGTGTTCTGGCCCCAGGATGCATCCTGCCTGTTGTAACTATTTGAAGACATTGGGCCTATTGCACTTGAACTCTGGTGACCGTACTAGTACAAAATGCAATTGTATTTGCCTATGTTGACATCAGATTAGAATAATTTTACAGATTATAAGCCTAATGTTGGTTGATGAAGTAGGATTATTCATTAATTGCCTTCCTTACTGTCTATCTTTTTTATTACATTCTTCATTTTCTTCTCAGTGGCTGATACATGGACATCCATCTGGAAAATATTCTTAAGATTTGGTATACAGACTAGACATGAGAATAACCATATAAGTAAAGAAACACAGTCCTGTGTGGAGCTCACATAGTACAGGATAGAAATCAGCAGTAGCTGCCCATGACAGCCCTGCCTCAAATAATCTGATTTCTGGTACCTGCCAGAATACTTGCTTTGCTTCCATTACATAAGAAAATCTAATGTGTTTTTGTAGAAAATAAATAAACCCTGTGATGGTTTTATTTAAGACTTTAACCTTTTAAGGATTCAGGTCTAATAAACAATACTCCTCATTGCTTATCACTTAATCAGTATAAACACAATGACCTGGGATTGGATTAAACTCTTCTCCATCAGTTTCTGAGAAGAAATATTTAAATAGAGACATATATTCTAAATATAATTAGTCCATGATCTCTGTCACAAAGCTAACTACTGATTCCACAATTTCCTGATCCATCTTGTGCCATTATACATTTTTCTATAAGGACAAGTTATTTATTATTAATCACAGGCCCTTGAAGGCTTTTTCACTGTTTTGTGAGAATACATTGAAATACAGTGAAAGAAAAATATCTAAGTGGTTGCTGGTTGACTTACCTTAAGAGAAAACTGAGGTTGGCAGTCATTTATCAAAAGGTTAATCTTGGAAGCTGCCCTACTAATCTGAACTGTATTCATTTTCAGAGAACTACTACAAATGTGATCCTGTCCATCACCATGTGAAGACTGAAAATGAGTCTTGTCAGTGTAATGAGCTTGGCAAAGTGCTTCATGACCCCTCCACATGTGCTCATGATAAAATAGGTGAAACTCCAGAAAACTCTAATAACTACAGGTGCAGTAATTATAGGGAGACCTTTATTGAGTCTTCAAACTCACATAGACATGAAAGCATGCATACTGGAGAAGAACCTTGCAAATTTAAAGACTGTGAGAAATCTTTGCATTCCAACAGTACTCGAGATCAGAGACTCCACATTGCAAAGAAAGAGAACAGGCAGGGAGAATATGATGACTATTTCAGCTCAGCACCCAGTCTTTTCAAACAACCAATCTGCATTCAAGAGAAAGCCCAGCAGTGTGGGAAATGTGAGAAATGCTTCAGTAAGGCCTCAAGCCTTGCTGTACATCAGAAAATTCATACTGGAGAGACATCTTACAAATGTATACAACGAGATAAATCCTTTACCTGGGACTCATATCTTAGAAAACATCGTAGGGTTCATACAGGAGAGAGACCTTACAGATGTAAGGAATGTGACAAATCCTTTACCACTTGTGGAAATCTTAGAAGACATCAGAGAATTCACACTGGGGAGAAACCTTACAAATGTATGGAATGTTGCAAGTCTTTTAACCAGGACTCTCATCTTAGAAAACATCAGAGGGTTCATACTGGAGAGAAACCTTACAGTTGTCAGGAATGTGGCAAATCTTTGTCTACACTTTCAACTCTTATAAATCATCAGAAACTACATACTGGAGAGAATCTTTACAAATGCAGGGATTGTGACAAATCCTTTACTACAGGCTCACATCTTAGTGTACATCAGAAAATTCATACTGGAGAGAAACCTTACAAATGTGGAGAATGTAACATGTCCTTTATCCAGAGTTCAAATTTTAGAAGACATCAAAGAATCCATACAGGAGAGAAACCTTACAGTTGTAAGGAATGTGATAAATACTTTACCAATTCCACACATCTTAGAAGACATCAGAGGATCCACACTGGGGAGAGACCTTACAAATGTATGGAATGTCACATCTCCTTCACACAGGACTCACAACTTAGAAAACATCAGAGGATTCATACTGAAGAGAAGCCTTACAGATGTAAGGAATGTGACAAATCTTTATCTACTTATTCAACTCTTAGAGAACATCAGAAACTTCATACTGGAGAGAAACCTTACAAATGTAGGGAATGTGACAAATCTTATGCTATGTGCTCATATCTTAGACAACATCAGAAAATTCATACTAGAGCAAAATCTTACAAACACAAAGACTGTAACACATCCTTCAATCAGATTTCAGCTTAGAAGACATCAGAAACTTCATAATGGAGAGAAACCATATAAGTGCCTGGAATATGATGAATTCTTTACCTACATGTCAAATCTTAGAAGTCACCAGAGAGTACACACTGGAGAGAGATTTTACAGGTATAAAGAATGTGACAAGTCTTTCACTAGCTGCTCATATCTTAGAGCACATCAGAAAATTCATACTGGAGAGAAACTTCACAAATGCAAAGACTGTGACATATCCTATATCGACATTTCAATTTTTAGAAGACATCAGAAAGTTCATACAGGAATTAAAAGTACCATTGTGAACCATGTGACATGGTATTTCTATGGTGTTCTCTGTTTAAAAGGCACAGGTATACATAATAGAAACATAAAGATAAGAAACTTATGAAAGGGTTTATTGATGTGTTAAATGATATAAAATATCAGAGTTTATTTTCAAATAAAATTCTACAACAGTAACTGTGTGAATTGTTCTTTATGTGTATGGAAACTTGTCTCAAAACTTTCTGTGTACTCCATGTTTGTCTAATGCCTATGTAGTTCTGAAGAGGGCCTCAGATTCCCTGAAGCTGTAGATAAATACAGTTGTGATCTATTGTGTGTGTTGAATCCTGGTCCTCTGGATGAGCAAACAGTGCTTTTACTCACTAAGTTTTCTCTCCACCCCTAAGGAATTGCTATAATAAAACATTTAACTTGTCTTACATCTAAACATTGAAAATAATGCCAAGCAAGGTGATGCATGCTTTCAATCTCAGCACTCAGGAAGCAGAAGCAAGAAGATTTCTGAGAGTCTGAGGCATTCCTGGCCAACATAGTGAGTTCCAGGACTGCCAGCACTACATAGACCCTGTCTCAGTAATAATAATAATAATAATAATAATAGGAAAAAATACAGAACATAAGTAATATGATTATGGCTGTACATCACAAAACTCATACTTCTGAGAAACATCACAAATGTATTTCATATTATGCCATATATAATCCCTATTTCTTGTCCATTGAAAATGACAGCTTTAATCCCAGCACTCGGGAGGCAGAGGCAGGCGGATCTCTGTGAGTTCGAGGCCAGCCTGGACTATCAAGTGAGTTCCAGGAAAGGTGCAAAGCTACACAAGAGAAACCCTGTCTCGAAAAACCAAAAAAATAAAAAGAAAAAAAGAAAACATTAGTTTTGGGGCTGGAGAGATGGCTCAGCGGTTAAGAGCACCGACTGCTCTTCCAGAGGTCCTGAGTTCAATTCCCACAGATGGTGGCTCACAACCATCTGTAATGAGATCTGGCACCCTCTTCTGTATACATAATAAATAAATAAATCTTTTAAAAAAAAAAGAAAAGAAAATGACAGTCACCAAATGCATTCAATTTGACAAATCCTTTACCTAGTGCTCAAATTGTTGACATCAAAGGACCCAACCCAAAAGAACGTATAAAAATGTTCCAATAAAGTCTCATCATTTGTTTGCTTTCAAAATCTTCATACTAGAGCTAAACCTTAACATTGAAAGAAGGTGATAACCTGTAGAGAAAGAAGCTGTTAATGTTGGTGCAGTACTTTCTGATGGAAATGGTGAAAGTCATAAAGTCTGCATAGCTGCTTGACCCAGATCTAGCAAAGCTGAGCCACAGGATGGCCGCCTTACCTTATTAGGCTTTGATCTTCATGTGTAGTATGCTTGAGGGGGGAATTCATATTTGAGCAACTTTGGGATATTAGTTTAATGGGAAATTCTTATTAATCATTTATGAATTCCCCCAGAAGTACTGCTTCTAAGATTCCCCAGCAAAGTCCTGAGCATAATTCCTCTACTACTTTTAGGAAGATATCATCTACTTGAAGCTCTTCCTTTGCCTTGGGAGTTGTGATGCACATAAAGAAAGAAGAGATCTCATGTTGAGGCTCTGAGATATTCTTGAAACATCTGCCCCTGTAATTACTCAGGAATATGAAAATCAGAAAAAAAGTACAAGGCACTTCCTACTATACACTTAGCAACAAAATTAGATTGGTTGGAGTATATCTGCCCTACACAGGGATTTATGTTGACGGGCAAAGACTGTTGTAAAAAATTGATTAAAAAATGAGGTGGCAGGACCTTACTTTCTTAGAAAAGTTACCTTGTGCAGGGCCACTGTGTGAGCAAGACTAAAAGAATACCAGGATTTGACATATAAATTAATTTTATAATGATATAAAATATGAATATTTTGTTATGCCATAAATTGAATAACTGTAACAGCTTTGGCATGAGGATTTTTCTTGGGCACTATGACCACTAAATGTTAATAATACACTACTCAGAACAAGGCAGTCTGCTTGGGCTGAATTGGGATTTTTTTTTCTGTCTAATGTCCTTAAAGCCACAAGTGCTGCCAGCTTGAGAATGGACTGTCATATGCCTCTATATTCTTAGAAGTTTGGTTATGGGGTTGGTGAGTATAAATGATTGTCAAAGATATCTATGCTTTTTCACAGTTTATCAATGATCACCAAAAGATTCAACATAAAGCTAAACACATATCCATAAACAAAAAAATGACATGATCAATGTTTTAGAACAACATGGATCTATCCTTGTTTACTAAATTAATCAGTCATTCTGAAAGATTCTCCCAACCAACAAGGTCTGACTCAACCCTTCTTCACCTACTCCTTTCCTCCTCCCTGGAACCTGTAAACCAAAGAGGCTGCCAACTTGCCCTTGCAGCATGTAACCTCACAGGCATGCTCACAAATGATCAAAAAACTGAAAAACCTCTAAGGGGTCTGGGCTCAGTGGTGTATAATCTCAGCACTCTGGAGGCAGAAGCAGGTGGATCTCTGTGGGTTCAGCCTGGTCCAAGGTCCATATCCCTAGACAACCAGATCTACACCGAGAAACCCCATATGAAACAAACAAAACAATAAAAAAATACTTGAGGGAATGCACAATTTCATTTTGAAGTACTGAAAAAGAAAATGGCGAAGTGTTTATTCCGCACTTTAAAATAAAAAGACATAACTTTCATTAAATGCCATTAGACAGTCATGGAGGTTAAGGGAGAGTGATGGTACCCTCTCATTTCCATGACAAATGGTAATTGCCCCAATCTTACACAGTTGCTTATTCTTAGTACTTTCTAAATGGTTTTGAGTCTCTGAATTACCCAGCACTAACTTCAAGAGGAGACTACTTTCACCAAGATTGAGAGCAGTAAAAATTGATAATTCTAAACACAAATATTAAGAGGTCAGATTAACAAAAGGATCTTTAACAAAGCATCAATAGGTTCTCTCCTTGGACTTATAATTTCAAGCTTTGGATTTTGACCATGGCATGAATTTGTCTTTATGGATCAGGTTTGAAATCCAATCAAGAGAGACATTGATTATGCCCATAAATAGTCATGCTACCATTATACCAGTATAAACAACTTGCCTAGAAGGATGTCATTGTATGATACAGGGTTTAGGTGTGACTAAGACAATTAACATCTTTTCTCTGACAGAAGCCTACAAAATGTACCCATGAAGGAGAGTTTCCAGATATATTCAATATTTCCAGTTTTTTCTCTCTCGCTGTCTCTCTCTCTCTCTCTGCCTCTCTCTCTCTCTGCCTCTCTCTCTCTCTCTCTCTCTCTCTCTCTCT